TATTTTTATACTAATTACGCAATTAAGCGCACGAAGGTGTAAAGTGCTATTGCATTTGCGCGAAATTATAATCAGATGACAGGTGAATCTTTGGTCGACTACTGTTTTACATAAAAAATGTTATTGAGAATCGTCATTACTTGTATTAAGTATATATGTACATGTATACCATTATTGTTAATGTAATCAAGAAAAAATTGATTTTATACGAAAAAATAATTTAAAAAAATATAGAATAAGATTTTAAGTACGATTCTCTCACCTTGGAAAAAAATCAAATTTATTAATCAAAGAACTAAACATGTTTTCCTTTATTTTAAATTCACATACAGCTTTCAATTCATGTAAATCCCTTTTAATATTAGCTCACTATCACATGTAAAAAAATGTTTGCGTATATATTATATTTATCAAAATGTAGACATAATAATCTTAATATCTCTACAAATATTCTGGTATTATAATATTAATATTATATGTATATACGATAGGATTTTATATATATATATATACATATATAAATTCACTATAAGAACACATCATGCATCGAAAATTAAATAATTAAAATGAAATTACCAATATGCAAAAATTGATTTCGATGTAACGATGATAATAATATTTTCTCATTCGATAGTATTGTATATCATCTGACATTGTTGCAAAATTATTTCTTACGATTGTATTTTATAATTGTATACGGACGAATAATAAATTTAAATCGTTAGAATTCGAAAAAGAGAGATGCCAAAGAATTGCATTTATATACATTCTAATAAATATTCCGTTTCTTCCATGATATTGCGTGTGTGTGTATGTGCTATGTATATATACGCACACACACACACACACACGCGCACGTGTGTGTATGTATATACATAATTCAGGATTTAATATTTACATATATTCATACAATTTTTAATTTCGTCATATAAAAATTTTAAATAGCATGTTTAATTTTATTCATTAAGTAACTAGGAAATGAATTTAAAAAAATAAGATTTTTTTGTACACCTTGATTTGCTGCCATTGTAAACATATATTTGTAAATATATTTTTGTTAGTAATATTATTAATATTATTATATTCTATTATTATAATTTGAAGAAGTCTATCGATTGATATAATGAACTTTCGCGAAATGACTGCGTTTTATATTTATGCATTACTATTACTATATGTACCTCTGTAAATATCATATTATGTAGATATTAAAATAAAAAAATCATAAATAATTACTTTGCATATATATTTAACAAATTTTTTAAATACTAAATTTGAAAATAAAGCTCTTGCACAAGATCCCTATTACGTTAAGTAATGAATCTTAAATTAAAGCCTGTATATAAGTAAGTAAATTTACATCTCAATGCACAAAGAAAATTAATATAATATTCAACATTAATATTTGTTTATGCGTTGATATTACGTTAGACTTTTGTTTACGATTAATATTTAACATAATGTAACGTATTACAGATGTTCTTGTGTGGATCTAATTCTGTAATATAATAAAAAGTTGGATATTAAAAAAGATAGAAAGGGAATATTTTTTTATTAAAAATCAATCGCATAATGAAATCGGTATAATAATTGTATATAATTCTTCCAAATCGCTTCAGATTTTCTCATTGCGCTTTACATACATATATTGGGTGATTCGAAAATAAAACTACTTTGTATAATATATATATGTGTGTGTATATATGTATATATATATATATATTATATACAGAAACAGTGCGATGCACACGGTATGCGTGTGTCTATATCGTTATAATTATACATGATGATGATGATAATAATAATAATTATATAAACGTTCTATATTACAACAAATCATCATCGGACCAAAAAGATTGAAATTCTCTTTATCTTCTGTCGCATACAACCCATTTTCCCTTTTCCTTATTTTTCAATATTTTTTTCTCATCTCATATGTAATATACAAGCATTCGATATTTTCTCTTATGATAACTATAATATTATACAACACTTTGGAGGAATGTGATGGCGACTCTGATTAGCACCACAACTTCTTCGATTTATTTATCCTTTAGTTTGTAACCCTGGATCACTCCTACAAACTAAAGAAAATTTATCTTAACGCTCGCATTCTCTTTCTCTCTCTCTCGCGCAAATTATTATGAAAACAAATTAATTCTTTCAATCGATTTGCCAAGTAAAAAGGCCAAAAATATATTACAATTATTTAATTAATTTATAAAAACAAAAGATGCATATTTTTTAATATGTATAATATATATTTCTCTCTTTGTAAGATAATTTTCAAGTTTTAAAATCTTTCTTTATGTAGATAATATACTTACATATATAATTTTTTCTCTAACAATTTTTTCTTTGTTTGAACTTAAATCTAAACATTATAATTCTTAATTACATAATATAATTGCAAAAAATATAGAATTTCCTCTTAACAAATTGAAAGGAATATTATATAATTTCATTACATTATTTGATAATCTACTACTATCCAATCATATTTTAATGGATTGTGTTAAATATTATTATAATAGAGAAGTAAATCCTGGGTTAATTGTTAATTAATATTGCGCAATGGCACTTTACAAATCAAATTATAATGGCCTAGTGCTTGTCTTATATCTATGTAGTGTACATATATATATATATATATATATATATGTGTTTAACATATATAATATACATAAACATAGATATATATAATATATACCTATATATTATATATATCTATATAATATATACAAATAGATATATAATATAAACTTTGTATTTATATATTTAATAGAATATGTTTTCACTATATATATACATATACATATATATATAATATATATATATACATACATATATATATATCTTATCATTTACTCCCCACGCAGGAAATTATCTCTATACAACTTCCTACCTTATATAACATAGCAACAATGATAACAATAGGCAGGATGGAGAAATTGAGTTTTCTTCTTTACTTCTCATTTCCTGTTTCTTCTCTGTATCGTCATCTTAATTTGTTTAATTCATCCACTTACGACAATTAGGTGCGCCGCAAGCGCATGCAATCTTGTGCTGGTCGTCTTCGATATCAAATTTGTAGTCATATGCCAGCTGCAAAAGGAAATAAATATAATGTAATACTATAAAAAGTAAATACAATATTTAGAGTAAAAAGGATTCATACATGGGGAGTTATAATTTTTAAATAGGGGAAATAATATTAAAATAAACAAAATGCTTAGATTATTTTTCTTATATAAAGAAACGTATAATTACCTCTTCGCCACGTGAAATTCGGCGCTTAGCAAAAATGATAATTCTGAAATCGCGCTCAACTTCAACGATCTCAGCGACACAGTTCGGGTTGCAGGAATGATTAATGTAGCGAGCGAGACCACCACATAAAGTAGCATCTATTACTCGTTCCTCATCCAATCGGAACATATATATACCACGATTCTACAATAAACAAATATATGAATATATTCTAATATATATATGTATATACATGTGTGCGTGCGTGTGCGTGTATGTGTATAAAAGAATAATTAGTTTATGATATAGTAAGAATAATTAATAGAATACAATCAAAGGAGCTTCTACACTTACTCTAGCTTCATATTGTTTTTCCCTTGTTTCTGCTAACTCTGACCTAATGATCTCTCCAATGTATTCGATTACCATCGTGTGTTTCTCCAAATCCCTCGCTGCGTATAATCCTAGACCTTGAATCTTTGATCTTGCTAAATAAACATTATTACGCCATTCTTGTTTCATCTTCTTATATTGTGAACTCTTGGAGTGTACGAATTGTTTCGAATATGGACAGGAGGCGGCTTCGCCAGCAGCAGCAGCTGCTGCAACTAATGTTGAAGAGACTCCACCTCCCATTGTTGCGGCAGCACCACAGGTTGGCAAGCCAAATGGCATTCCACGTGAAGCAAAGCCTCCTGTGCGTTGCGTGTGCGGTCGTTTCCACGGAAGCTGGTTGCGTAAACGTGCCTCCGTACGTGCACTTCCTGTTGGATTGATGGCTAAAGGCAACTCCAATAGCGGATTACGACCATATTTAAATCTAAAAACAAATTCATTATTATTGCTTTCTAAGAAACTTAATGTTCTGCAAAAGCTAGTAACAAAAGTAAAAGTTGAAATGTATCATACGAAAATAATTGTTGATATCATTCATCAAAATTAATTCCAAAATAACATTTGGTTCCTACCTGTAATCGGTTAAAGTCTCAATTCCAGGCAAGCTTTCCAGTACCCGCACTACTGCTGGTTCTGTCAAACCAAACAGATCTTCTCCTGAAACGTATCTCGGGAATAATTGTACAGAGTTTGTACTTCTTCTCAATTCTGCCAATGGTTCCAAGATTCGGCTCCAAACTGCTCGCGGAGTAGCGTCTCTCAGTTCAACATCTTCTTGAAGAGGTTCTTGAACTAGGACACGAAATTCCGGACGACCAGAAACATCGTGGATCGAGCAAACATAGCGGCAACGTTTATTAGGTCTTCGCATGCTCCAGTAGAAACGTACGATTTTGTAGCCCACCGGATAAATATAGTTGGGCGTATGGAAGTTTTGTAATTGATGAGGAAGTAGTTGACCGACGCTAAGAAAGATAAGAGAACCCACACGAAGTAAATGTTTATTGTCAGAATGATGCATCACCGCAGCGACTTGACGATTTTCATCACGTTGAACATAGACGCGACGGTAAACAGAAAGGGTAGTTAGTTCTTTATCTTTATCTTTTATAAGGTGTTGAGGACAAGCCATAGTCTGGAAGAAAATTTTGATTATATTTAAAATTGCATAAGAAAAAAAAAATAAAAATCAGAAAGAATAAAAAATTTAGAAAAAAATTTATAAAAATTAAAAAAATCAGAACTTTATTGTACTGAGAATACTTTTTTAAGTTCTTATTTTTATCTTATCTTTAATGTATAAGATGTTCCGTTTAGACATTTAATACTAAAATTTCTTCGACAAATGCAGGGAAGGTAAAACAATTTCTACGGTATACTATGCGCTCAAAGTTGCTGGCTTTATAAATTTCAAAGCTGTTTTTTACACAGGCGTCCATCTTTTGCTATTAGAGCAGTATTATTCTAATACTTTATTATAAATTTTTTTATTATATATCTAAGCGGAACAATTCGGTAACATACTATTAATCTACAAATGATTTGATTACCTTATCTTTATAAAAACCGCAACCGTCTTTAATGGCACATATCAGGTGGTACCAGTTAGTGCATCTTGGCTTGTAGCACTTGACAGTGCCAGCGGATTTTTCGCAAATGATGCAAATCTGTACAAGATTGTTCTGCAGGACCTCATCCAATCTCATAAGTGCGCCACTCTGTGCTTCATACACTACATTAGACCATAATGCACAATTGAGATGTACCCATTTATCCACGTCAAAATTGAGTAATCGAGCTGGCCCATCGGCTGTTGCATCGCCTTGACTCTTGCAAAATACGCAACGACGGGTATCTTCGGCTTTTGCGGGAGCTACTGCAATTCCCATACGAAACAGCATCTAGAAGAAAATTCAATTTTTATCTTCGACGTACAATTTTACATTAAAATTTTGTTTACTAAATATTACAGAAATCAACATTCATATATAAATTCATACATGACGTGACATAAAAACATCTTTTGCTTTTCAAGTAACTTTCAAGTAATAAATTTTGTGTGTGTGTGTGTGTGTGTGTGTGCGCGCGTGTAAAATCGAATTATTCATATAAATTTTTCAAATAATTATTAAGTAATTAAATTAATTATTTACCTCGGTAATTTCTCTATCAGTGGGTTTCTTAAATTTAGTTGAAGGTTGCATGGCTCCCAGCGACCATGTTTTATATCTCAAACCTTTCCAGATTTTTGCAGGTGGTTGAGGCTCAATAGAATCACCGATTTCTTCACTAATTGAATGTTTCTTTGACCGCTTTTCATCGTTGTCCACACTGTTGACATTATCCAATTTCTCAATTTTCACTTTAATCTCTGTTGTTGATTCATTAATAATCTCCATATTTTCAAATTTCTCCATCTGCTGCTGTTGCTGTTTAATGGGAAATTTCTTCAGACTTTTCAAATCATCTTCCAACATTTTGGCTTCTGTTTTATGACATAGATGATCTACTACCGTTGCAGCCTACAAAATAATAGAATTATATATATATATGTATGT